GGCACACGGAGCAGGAGAACCACCCAGCTGAGCCAGTCAACTGCATGACTGGAGAAACCATACGTTGTTGTTATGTGTCTAAGTTTTGGGGTGCTTTACGCAGAAATAGATGACTGAGACAGAAGTTGGTACCTGGAGGTTGGGTGCTGCTGTACCAAACCTCTAAAGCAAGTGTGTTGGCCTTGGGACCAGGTGGCAAGCAGAGGCCTGAGGAGATTGTCAGCAGAGGCTGGAGAAAGGGGACCATGTTACCGAAAAATCAGTGAGGCTGCTGCCTATAGTCACTGGGAAGATAAAAAATGCACCCAGTGGACTAGTTCTAGGCAAGGAGATTTCTAGGAAAATGTGAAAATGCCTGTTATGGGTTGAACTGTGTCCTTCTCTCTCAAAAGCTCTGCTGATTCTGGACTTGAGGCCTGAACTGGGTGCGGTGATGAGATGAGATATTGGGGATCTTGGGAGGGGCCAGAGGGTGGACTGCTTATATTCAAGGCCCCCACAAGCCTCTTGGCATTCATGCACTTGGTAGACCCCTTCCACACTGACTCTGGGCTTGCCCACGTGACTTGCTTGGTCATTGGGACATTAGTATGAGTGATACATGCAGAGGCTTAATGGGAGGGTGGCCCATTGGATCTTGTCTTCTTGTAACACTCCCTCTTGGAAACCAGCAGCAAGATAGTCTGCTGAATAATGAGACACCCCTTGGAAAGAGGCCCTGGAGAATGGGGGTCATCTTGGACATTCTGGCCCCAGCTGAGCTCCCAGCTGATGCAGCCACATGAGCTATCCCAGCTACACACGAGGAGTGGAACCGCCCAGCTGAGCCCAACGAGCCCACAAAATTGTGAGAACAAGTAAATCAATGCTGTTTTAAGCCTTTAAGTTTAGGGTGGTGGGTTATGTAGCAATAGAGAACCGAAGCCCCTTGTCCTTCACCCCTCGACTCCTGACTTCACTCTCTGCCTTCCCAGCTGGGGTCCCACGGTCAAGAATTATAATTACTCCCTCGTCCCCCCCTCCACTGTTATCATATTTTCCTGGCTAAGCCCCAACCCTTGTTAGATCAACCTATCCACCTACCCCATACCTGCATCCAAGCAGCAAAACTTTTCTAGAGAAAAACATAAAACCATACTTACTGGTCCTTCAACTTTATAACACATCTGGCAGTGGGCTCTGCACACTGACAGACAATTGTGCTGTACTTTCCTCATCCAGCTACCCTTCCATTCTCTGGGAAGACTGTTTCACACCTGTCTTTTTTCCTCGAAACCTCCTCATCACCACCCCCACACACAAAGCTAGTAACTTTATTTAGAATCAGGGGCTTGGCTGCAAGTGTTAGAAAACTCCAAACAACAATAGCTTAAACCTTAGAAGTTTTTCTCTTTTGCATAGAGTCCATCATAAACCATCCAGAATTGGCAGGGCAGCTGCACAGTCATCGGGCTCCACAGTTCCATCTTATTGCTCTGCCATCCCCAACACATACATTCTATTTCATGGTCTAAGATGGCTGCTTGAGCTCCAGTCATCACGGATGCATTGCAGACCACAGAAAGAAGGATGTGGCAAAGATAAGCAAACTCCACCCTTTAAGGACACTTTTGGAAATTATACATACTGATTCTTACATTGCACTGGCCAGGAATTAGCCTTAAGACCACATATATCTATCTGCAACAGAAGCTGGGAAATGCAGTGTTTCTTCTGTGAGACCATACGCCTAGCTAAACGTGAGGATTCCTTTCTAAGAAATAAGTGGAGGGGGCCGGCCCCGTGGCTTAGCGGTTAAGTGCACACACTCCGCTGCTGGCGGCCTGGGTTCTGATCCCGGGTGTGCAGCGACGCACCGCTTCTCCGGCCATGCTGAGGCCACGTCCCACATACAGCAACTAGAAGGATGTGCAGCTATGACATACAACTATCTACTGGGGCTTTGGGTGGAAAAAAAAAGAAAGAAGTGGAGGATGGGCAAAGAGATCCTTCTCCCCATCACAGTTTTGTTCCCAATCCCCTCCTCTTCTGCCCAGCCAAGAGCTTTGTTCCTGCAAATGTCTCCTCTCACCGGCTTCATGATAAATACCTCTTGGTTGGGCCATTCCCACCTGCACACCAATATGCTTTTAAAAGTGAACAAACAAGACCTCCTTCCCTTAAGCAGCAGCTTGTCTCTCTGCCCTTGGCAGTGAAACTCCATGTGCTCTCTCCTTGCCTCCCCTCTTCCCCATCCTCTCCATCCCAACCCCAACCCCACTACCCGCCCACCCCCACCACCCACCCCACTCCTGCGGAGCAACTCAGTCCCCCTCCCTGAGGCTGTTCCTGGTGAGCATCCATCTCACTGGACTTGGCTTCCTGCCCCTCCTTCTCCAGTATTCTGGTCCCCCTCCCTCTGCAGGCCTGTCTTCTGCCCACCCTCTGCGTGTCGGGTGCCAGGGCTCCATCCTTGGCTTGTCTTGCTCTTCTCTGTCCACTGTATTGCCAGAGGATATCAGGGCCTTGGCCTGGGGGACCTCCCGTGGGATGATGGCTCCAGATCTGTGCTTCCTGCTCCTCCCGCTTCTCCCCTGTGCCTCCCTGCCTTCTCAAAATCTCCCCTAACTCAGAACACCTAATTCCTCAGTCTCTCCTTCCGATGACCCCCAGCCCCAGTGGCCAGGCCAGAAACCCCGGACTCATCCTGAATTGCTCTCCTTTCCAGCCCGCATCCAGCCTGCCAGCAAATTCTGTCTGCTGTGAACTCAAAATGTAGCTCAGACCTGCTAGTGATCCTCTGTGTTCCCCTCTGCCCCGACTCGGGGCCCAGCTGCCCTTCTCTCCCTGCACATTCCTGCAACCTCCTGGCCCTTCCCACTCCCTCCATGGTCATGCTGCATCTCTGCTTACCACTCCCCGGTGGTTTCCCGCTGACTCCTGCCTTCCATGTCCGCCTCCGTTCTGACCAGCCAGTCTCCCCGTAGCTTCTCAGGGACATCCAGCTCAGGCTGCTTCCTGCCCTGTGTACTTCCTGTCCCTCTGCCCCAAATGCTCTCCCCCGGAGCTCCATGTGACCTCCAGCTCCTTGTATTAGCTCAAATGTTGCATCCTTGGAAAGGCCTTCCCTGACCCCCTAGCTAGAGGGACCTCACCCCTCCTCCAGCCACTTAGGCAGGATAGAACTTAGCTCCTCAGTCTATGTCCCCCTTAGATCATCAGCTCCAGGAGGGCAGGGACTTTGCCTGCCTGGGTGAAACTGTGTCCCCAACCAGAAGCCTTGCTGATGAACTGAGCAGCCTCCTAGAGCCCGAGGGGCTGGCATTCTAACCCCTTCTAACCCCTGTCCAAAGCTGACAGGCAGCCTGGGCGCCCCGGGTCTCGCTTAGCCACCGGGCACTCACCCAGCCAGCCTAGCTCCATGGCCCACACCCCCACCCCTCCTCTGCATCCCCCCACTACATTGTTCCCCAACCTGTCCCAGTGTCTCCACTGCCGGGCTCTGCCCACTCTCTCAAGCCCGTCCCCCTGGTAAAAACTGGGCACTGCCACTCTGGGGACAACTTAGGCCCCATCTTCTGAGGGGCAGGGGTCTCAGCACTTGTGCCATGAATAACAACTGCTCCCTGGGAATTGCCTAAAGCAATTCCTGCAGCCTCTGGACTCTGCCCCAGAGACAGGCAGGGATGCTGGTGTGCCCACTGGGTTTGGCCAGCAATGAGATTGGGAGTCAACCAGTGAGTGACTCCGAGCCATGGACCCAGGCAGGGCCAGCTTCATGGGCACATGACCTGGGCAGTCACACAGTGCCCCAAGCTCAGAAGGGCCTGCACTTGTTTTAATGCTCTAGCATCGCCATCTGGAAATTCTTTATTTATTTTTTTTTGTGAGGAAGATCAGCCCTGAGCTAACATCCATGCTAATCCTCCTCTTTTTTTGCTGAGGAAGACCAGCTCTGAGCTAACATCTATTGCCAATCCTCCTCCTTTTTTTTTGTTCTCCCCAAAGCCCCAGTAGATAGCTGTATGTCATAGTTGCACATCCTTCTAGTTGCTGTATGTGGGACGCGGCCTCAGCATGGCCGGAGAAGCGGTGCGTTGGTGCGTGCCCGGGATCCGAACCCCGGCCGCCAGCAGCGGAGCGCACGCACTTAACCGCTGAGCCACGGGGCTGGCCCACATCTGGAAATTCTTAATAACTTTTTAACAAGGGGCTCTGCATTTTCATTTTGCATGGAGCCCTGCAAGTTATGCAGCTGGTCCTGGTTCCAGGGACACTCAGCTGGCACAATGCACAAAGACTTGGGTCACCAGCATGGCCCTGAGGGAAAGTGCTGACCAGGAGAGCCAGGAGGATAGTGCCAGGTGCCACTCCTCCTGGGTCCCCATGACCCACTACTGCCTTCTCTGCTCCCACAGCAGCTCCCAGCACCAAGGAGGTGGGAATACCCACTGGACAAGGGAACATAGGACTGCGGGTCCAGCAGGCACCCCCCCCCCCGCCCCCAGCAGGCCTTGAGCCCTGGCCTAAGGCTCTGCAGCCTACTCCCTAGGAGCTATGCAGCAGGACTTTGGGAAGTGGCTAGCCCAGGATGCACCCCCAGACACAGGGCTTGACACATGGCTGTGCCCCATCCCATTGCTGATTGGACTAGTAACAGGTATCTGACCCAGACTGGATCAATCAGATCTGACATAACTCACTGGTCAGCACTTCTGAGGCGGGATAGGACCAGTTCAGTACTGCTGGCCAAGAGGGGGAGTGTATCCCATACCTGTCCCATGATGAGCGAAACCTCCTAGAGGCCTGGCTGCTTATCATCGTCGCTCCCACCACCACCTCCATCTTCCAACCCAAACTCAGGGGGTTGCTCCCGAAGCCGTGGGAGGTGTGCACTAGGGGAAGACCCTGGAGAGGGAGCCCCTCGCAGAGAAAACGACCCGGCTGGAAGCAAGAGGCAGCTTTACCGAGAGGAAGACCAGTGGTAGGGTGAAGTTAGGAGATTGGAGAGGAAGGGAGAATGCAGTCCTGGGGTGGGGGAAGGGTGGGGTGCCAGCCCGCAGCGTCACACGTCCAGGTCCGACGGAGAGCCCGGCTTGTCGTAGGCGCCGGTCTTTCGCAGCATGATGCCCGGGCTGAAGGCGGCCCCCAGCGGCCAGTGGCGGACCACGTGCCGGTAGGAAGTGGCCAGGCAGTCGAAGTAGTTAATGTTGAGCTTCCGGGCGATGTGACGGCCCAGGTATTCCATTTGCTGGGGGAGCGGGTGGCGGTCAGCTCTCGCCCGGACAGCAGAGGCCCCGCCGCCGCCCCCCGAGGCGTCCCCTCCCTTGCCAGACCGCATCTCCAGCCTTGCCCGTTAGCCCCGGCGCCCTCTCCGCGGGCTCCCAGCGGAAGCCTGGGCCACGACTGCGTTGTATTCACCCTCTGCCTGCGAAATGGCCCCACCTTAAGACCCTAAGCAGTGATCGGATCAAGCTGAATCGAGGCAGGGAGGGGAGCGTGTCTGGGGCCCCGGGGCGAGCTGGAGCGGGACCCACCTCGTAGCGCTCTGACAGCTGCACCAGCACCAGCGGCTCCAACTTGTGGCCGCACAGCACCAGCTGGAAGAAGCACCTTCCGTAGGCTGGCGAGAGGCAAGAGGCTCAGCCCGGGGGTCCCGGGGGAAGGGGCTCCGGGAGGCGGGGATTCCAGGGGACGGGGAATCCAGGGGGCGGGGACTCCAGGGGGCTAGTACTCCAGGAGACGCAGATACCAGGGGGCGGGGGCTCTAGCGGGCGGGGACTCCAGGGGTCTGGTGCTCCAGGAGACGCAGATACCAGGGGGCGGGGATTCCAGGGGGCGGGGCAGTGGGCCAGCTTGCCGGACGCCCCTCTATTCCCAAGCGGCTTCCCCTACCCTTGCACACCCTCCCCGGGTCCGCGGCAGCCCCGTGCGTCACCGTCGGAGCTGAGCGCCAGGCGCACGTAGACCAGGTGCATGGGGCCCTGACACACGGTGCGGCCCTGGATGGAGAAGTGGTACACGCCGCGCGTGTGGTTCAGCACCAGGCGGCGCCGCGGCAGCGACGAGATCATGAGCCACAGGCCCACGCCCACGCCGTACGCGGGGAAGCCCCAAGTCTCCTGCTTCTGCACCTGCGGGCGCCGCGGAGACCTTCTGAGTGGCCAGGGGGCGCGGGGAGGGGGTGCCGAGCGGCGGGTCCGGCCCCCAGGGGAGAAAGGCCGTGGCGGGCGGGCCCAGGAGCTCAAACCTGGCTCACGAAGCCGAAGCTGACGAGGATGAGGCAGACGACGAAGAGCAGCGTCCCCTTCCACAGCGTGTCCAGGTAGTATTCGAGCACGAAGACTGGGGGCGGCGCGGCGGCGGCGCGTGAGGACAGCCAGCCCCTGCTCGCAGCCGGGGGTGGCAGTGCCAGGGCTCGGGGCGGAACAGCCCGCCCCACGCAGGGCTCGGGACTGTGGTCAGCGTCCTGCTGCAGGTTCTGCGCCTGCAGGGGCCCTGGCCGTCCCCGCCCAGGCTCTGGCCCCGCCCCGTCTAGGCCCCCAGGCCCCGCCCCGCGTCCCGGCCCCGACCCCACCCGAGGCTCTGGCCCCGCCCCCGCGTCCCGCCCCACCCTGTTCAGGACCACAGCCCCGGCCGCCGCCCGCGCGCACCGTTGGGCTGCTGCTGCGTGAATGGGTAGAAGCTGTTGTCCTTGAGGCGCTTGGCCAGGTGGCGCTCGGTGCAGAAGAGTCCTAGGGCCCAGAGCTGGAAGGGGTTGCCGCTGGAGGTCGTGGGCAGGCCGCTGATCCGGCCCTTGGGGGCCTGGGTAGGCAGGCACAGGCGGTCAACTGGGCGGCTCGTCTGCTGCCACCGCCCGCTGCCGACAGTCGCGCTCTTACCTGGGAGAAGAAAGCCTCCAGGGCTGCGGACCAGGAAGGAGCAGGACCTCTCGGGAAACAGGCAGGGGAGCGCCACCAGGTGGAGGTCCAGGCTGGGCCGCGCCCGGGTTCTAGAAGCTTTGGGCGGCGGGTTCTAGAAGGGGTCGTTCTGTGACCACGGCCCTTCTCCAGGAGGTCCCTTGGCCAGGCCTTGCGGTGGGTGTGCACTTCACGCCTAGTCCCACCCCACCGGAGGCCTCCTGTACAGCCTGGTTCACAGTTCTTATCTGAAGGGTGGGGTGGGGGAACATTCTAGGCCTAACCTGGAGAGAAATCTGCAGACAGGCACCCCACACCAAACCCCATGGCTGAGCAGGGTGTCCCCTTTTCCAGCACCATTTCTGCCCTGGCCAGAGCCTCACATACAGCCAGAGACAGCTCAGCTCAGTGTCCCTGAGGGTGGGACCCACGCGCAACCATGTGCGTGCACATACACATGCACTCCATCCAAGATTTAAGCCCAGGAGTGAGCAGGCAAGGCACAGCCACAGGCAGACTCAGGCCCCTTACCGCACAACACACAGGCTCTGGGCCAGCTCTAGCCCAGACTGGTTCCGTTAGGTACGATCCCTGTCCCCTCACCCCCACCCCAAGGACCACACAGAGTTTCTGAAAACATTTTATTCTAACAAAGTGCTCAAACATCCAAAACTGGGAAAGGGTGCAAGGCAGGGCTGGCTGACCACGGGGTCTGGGGTCTGGAGCTGCCTAGCTGGGGGAGGGAAGGCTGGTGAGCAGCTGTTCCAGGCACCACTGGACTTCCTCTGGGCCCCGGTAGGCCCGCTTCAGACCCCGGGGAAGGCAGCGGCAGGACTCCAGGTTGAGGTACAGCAGGCCTGGGCAACTGCTGATCACAGAGCTGTGGGGGCAGGGCAGGCCATGGGGAGTTGAGCCACTGGCCCCCAGAAGATCCTGTAGGGCTGGGCCAGGCTAGGGAGCCCTTTCTCCCCATGCACCACAACTGGTTCTGCCACCCACAGCCACCGAGACCCACCCCAAGCAGGGGCTTGACCAGTATGCACTCCCCTTTCGGACCCCTGGAGTTGGTGAGCCAGGCAGAATAGGGGGAGAAGCCGTACTGGCTCCAAGGGACTGGAGGAAGGGGTGCTGACCTGACACTGCTTGGTGTGACCCGGGTGCCCCTGAGGTTGAGGGAGCACAGGGCCGGGTGTGAGCCCCCAGGGATGCCTGAAAAGGCAGCTAGGGCCTGATCCAGGTCCTTCTCGCTGAAACCCTGGCCACTCAAGTCCAGTTCCCGCAGCGTGTGGCACCATTTCTGGGTCAAAAGGGGGCTGCCCTCCTTAGCTAGAGTTAGCCGGTCCAACATGCCATACAGGCCCAGATGAAGCTGCTCCAGCTCTGGAGGTGAGAGAGGTGGGCATGAGCTGCAAGGTGGGCAAGGGTCCCCAAATCCCACCTGCCCAGCCACCACCCAAGGAGAGCTGACCCTGACACGGCAGATCATGTAGGCCAGCAGGCGTGATGCGGGCACAGCCACGAAGATCCAGCAGGTGCAGGTTAGGGGAGCCATGGAGCAGGCGGCCCAGGACCTCATTGCTCACAAAGTTGCAGGTGGAGCTGGCGAGGCAGAGCTCCTCAAGGCTGGGGAAGCCTGGGCCAGGAGTCACCACTCGCCCAGAAGGCTTGGGCAGCCACATCAGGTTTAGCAGCCGCAGCACCTGGGAGCAAGGCCCAGGCTGCAGATGGGGAGGGAGTGACAGGTGGGAGAGGCGGGGCGTCAGGTACCTGTAGCTGGGGGCAGCCTTTCTGCAGGGCCTCAACAGGCAGCTGGAGGGGAGTGCTGTTGCGGTTGATGCCGGTGCTCACCTCCAGGACCTGGAGCTGGGGGCAGCAGCTACCCTGCAGAGGTTGGGGAGAACCGGGGGTCAGTGGCCAGGCAGCCCCTGCCTCAGCATCTGGCTCTGCTCCTGTCCGTCACCAACCTACCAGCAGCGCACCCAAGATGGCTGTTGTCTGGGAGCTGTAGGTCAGCCACAGCTTTCGCATTCGGGGCCCAGCCTCCTCCAAGAAGCTTACCACGGCGGTAGACTCCACCTGGGAACCCAACACAGGAGTACCTGTCACCTCGGCCCAGGCTTCTTTGGGGCTCTTGGGGACACAAGGCTCACCAAGGAGTGCTGTATGTCCAGGCTGTGGAGCTGGGGGCAGGCTTTGGCTAGCATGATCAGAGTGCCAGGGGTCACACCGTGGCAATCAGAAAGCTTGAGGAAGGTGAGCCGAGGACAGGACTCGCTAACCAGCTGTGGAAGACAGAGGGCCAGCTAGAATTGGGGGAGGGCAGGCTGTGGTCCACAAGGCAAAGAAACCAGTGGCTGGTGCCAACCCCACTTTACTGCCCCAGCTATGACCTCCTTTCTGCCCATGCCAGGCACACCTGGGTACTCCCATCTCTGATACCTCCCTGCTGGAAGAGACAACAGGAAAGGAGAACCAGGCAAGCATCCCCATGGGGCAGTGCTGGGCTCCATGGTGCCTGACCCACTCCCTGGAAGTACTGGGCAACCCCAGTGTCACGGCTGGTATGCAGGGCAGCCTTGAGCTCTCACCTTCAACACGGGGTATACCTGGGACTTCCAGTGGATGAGGGTCAGCCTCTGGAGCTGTGAGAACCTGGGCCGACAGCAGAGGCAGAGCTGCACAGCGTTCCCACACTGCCCCTTCTGTCAACATCCTCCCCACCCATCACCTTGGTGCAGGGAGAAAAGAAGGGGCCTGGGGCTTTCCACACACCACAGAGGTGGAGTGAGGGGACAAAGAAAAGAGGGAACGCCTCACCGATTGGGCATAAGCCACTCCAGGGAAGCAAGGAGCTTCTTCTCGGCTTTGGCCCCGCCAAGGGTGGGGCGGCCAGTCAGTGGGGGCGACAGGGTCACGGTGTGCCAGAGCGCGGGTTGGGAGGCGGCGTCGTGCCAGCGGCGGCACACGCGTGCAGCCCTGGGAGAAAATCTCTGCTAAGGGCCCAGGCCTTTCGTGGCCGATGCCCCCCACACCGGCTGCCGCTAAGGAGTTTTCTAAGAGGAGGGACCTGCCCCCGCACGTCTCACAACGCTGTGGACACCTCAGCTCAAAGTCGGGTCCTTGGGGCTCCAACTGAACCCCCTCTGAGACTGCGCTCTCTGGCGCGCGTGGGTGCGCGCTCAGGCGCTTTCGCCCTCTGCCCCCACCTCAGCTTCCCGCTCGGTGGGCAACGGGTCAGCCTGAGCCATGCCGCTGCGCTTGCTGGGCCTGGGGTACCTGCCGAGGAAGGGCATGGGCCCATCGGCCGCCACCAGCAGCCCGAAAATCTGCAGCAGGATTTCCAAGGGGAGGCGGTCGCCCCAGCCCGGGTCGGGCCCCTGCTGCAGCTCGGGGGCAGGAGCGGGCGCAGGCGCGGGCGCGGGTCTAGGTT